GTTTCCCCTTCGCCTTTCATGAACGCCTCAAATGACACTTCGCAACAAGCAGTTTGTCGAGATCTTTTTGCCTAGATTACATTTTGATCACTTGAATCCAGTGATCGCTTCTTCGCCGATCCACATTGATGGGAATAATTTGCATCTGATGGGAGATGCGCCCCACAATTTTGGACACAAAACAGCATGTTGACCGATCGTAGGCCCTATTCGCACTGCAAATATAATAATGTTTGTCAAACCCGATATTCTCACGCCAATTAAGAAAACTTTTTCAAGATTGACAAAGTTTGTCCGATTTCTTGTTCGCATTAGGCAGTTTTCTGAGATGTTGTATTGTTATCTAGCACGTTATCAGGTTGCCATTAAGAAATTGTACCTTTTTAAATTGTGACATGATCTCAAATAGCACCCTGGGCTTTTTTATTGGTGTTAACATAATTCTGACATGTCCGTCGAGTCACCCGCTGGTTATCATAGATTTTCACGAGATTGTGATGCTCCAGAGCTCTACGACGGAACCTTTGACCAATTAGTCGAAACGTTACAATTTGTCAGATTTCAGATTTTGCTGTTCGCACTCTACCAATTAAACTACTTCCTGACAAACCCTTGCCGCCTTTGAAGATAGAACAAAAAGAGATTAGCATTGTCAGGTTTCTAGATGCAGTGCGAATAGGGCCGTAGCAGCGATGCAAAAGGCGGGAACAAGGTAGCAACATCAACAGCACTTTGCATGCTGCAGGTCAGACTTAGTGTATGCTGCAGGTCAGACTTAGTGTATGCTGCAGGTCAGACTTAGTGTATGCTGCAGGTCAGACTTAGTGTATGCTGCAGGTCAGACTTAGTGTATGCTGCAGGTCAGACTTAGTGTATGCTGCAGGTCAGACTTAGTGTATGCTGCAGGTCAGACTTAGTGTATGCTGCAGGTCAAACTTAGTGTATGCTGCAGGTCAAACTTAGTGTATGCTGCAGGTCAGACTTAGTGTATGCTGCAGGTCAGACTTAGTGTATGCGGCAGGTCAGACTTAGTGTACGCTGCAGGTCAGACTTAGTGTATGCTACAGGTCAGATTTAGTGTATGCTGCAGGTCAAACTTAGTGTATGCTGCAGGTCAAACTTAGTGTATGCTGCAGATCAGACTTAGTGTATGCTGCAGGTCAGAGACTTAGTGTATGCTGCAGGTCAGACTTAGTGTATGCTGCAGGTCAGACTTAGTGTATGCTGCAGGTCAGACTTAGTGTATGCTGCTGGTCAGACTTAGTATATGCTGCAGGTCAAACTTAGTGTATGCTGCAGATCAGTCTTAGTGTATGCTGCAGGTCAAACTTAGTGTATGCTGCAGGTCAGACTTAGTGTATGCTGCAGGTCAGACTTAGTGTATGCTGCAGATCAGACTTAGTGTATGCTGCAGGTCAGACTTAGTATATGCTGCAGGTCAGACTTAGTGTATGCCGCAGGTCAGACTAAGTGTATGCTGCAGGTCAGACTTAGTCTATGCTGCAGGTCAGACTTAGTATATGCTGCTGGTCAGACTTAGTATATGCTGCAGCTCAGACTTAGTGTATGCTGCAGGTCAGACTTAGTGTATGCTGCAGGTCAAAATTAGTATATGCTGTAGGTCAGACTTAGTTTATGCTGCAGGTCAGACTTAGTATATGCTGCAGGTCAGACTTAGTGTATGCTGCTGGTCAGACTAAGTGTATGCTGCAGGTCAGACTTTTAGTGTATGCTGCAGGTCAAACTTAGAGTATGCTGCAGGTCAGACTTAGTGTATTCTGCAGGTCAGACTTAGTGTATGCTGCAGGTTAAACTTAGTGTATGCTGCAGGTCAAACTTAGTGTATGCTGCAGGTCAGACTTAGTTTATGCTGCAGGTCAGACTTAGTGTATGCTGCAGGTCAAACTTAGTGTATGCTGCAGGTCAGACTTA